ACTTTATCATGGATGCAACTCATAGTTAACGCCTATACTTCAGAATATGTCTACAACTAAAACTCAACAAGAAAGGGGAAACGAGTAATTACTTTCGCAGTCAGTATGTAAAATTTTCAGATGATTGTATAAGGAAAGTGACTGTTGAATGGAGTAAACTTTAAACGCATATAATGCAGTAGTTGTAGTTACGCCATGTATCACTAGCATCAAATACTGACAGTATACCGACTGGTGAAACAATAGTCAAACGCTATCATGGAGTTTATCAATACCTACTTCGAAAAAGCCTTGATTTTGTCCTTATGTGAAACACTTAGAAGAGTTAGTTGGTTCGAGGCAATCGTCAAGAAACCCTGGACCTAGGTTTCAACCTTGTTGGAACTCACTGCTAAGTCGTATCTGTAAACTCGACGGAACTTATATCCCACCTGAGATTCGGATCCGCATCACCCAGTGTTGTAGTCAGCGACTTTACCACTGAGCTATTCGGGAAGTGATTCGCCTCCGACCAACTGACATCTACTAATGTGAACCGCTATGTTGAACCTCCTGGCTTGCAGCCAAATTGCAGATGTGGTCGGTAGGATTCTGTCTGCACTCAGGACTAGACAACATGGAACTGGCTGCACTCCCGTGACCAAACAATGCACACCTGGAAGTGTCATGACTAGTTGCTCTAATGTGAAACTGGGTATTCCTTATTTGCACATGCTGCTTCAAAACACTGGATATAATGCTCTAGACTGTTGGACATCTCTCTTGATTAGTTCAGCTAGTGTGTAATTCGCATATGTACATCGGATGCATCTATTTGATTCTGTAATGTCTTCTACATGCACACCAACAGAGGTCAAATGGAAATTTGGCTTCAATAACCAATAGTGAGCAGCCTCATTTATGTCGTTGTGTATTAGAGTTGATGTGTACATTCAACTTATACTGTTAATCACTGTCATGAGCAACGGCGTTTGAAGTAGTTTGGAGTCCATATTACAATATTTGGAAAGCTTTCAGGACACACTCCTCAAATTGACGCAAATATGTTTTCTACTTGAAATCTCTTGACCTATCTATACGGCATAAATCACAATACCAAATGCAAATAAATAGTGACAGTAAAATTGATTGCAATTATCCCTGTCCGAGTATTGATGTTGAAGTTTGGTGAGGACATCTTGCAAGGTAGTGAGAAGTGCCGTGTAGTTACAATTACAATTCGTTTGTAAGAAATGTGGGATTTTCGACTTGAATTTTCCAGCCTTTATTCAAATACACACAATAACGTCGTGAGTTCTCAGTTAGTAGAGAAGTGAGAAATGTTCAGTTTTGTTTTATAGGTTGTCAGGTCAGTGTGGTGAGTTGTCGCTGTCATCGAGACAAAAGTGTGATGCAAATATTGGCAGTATTAGTATTGTGAATACGTCTATGAAGAGAAACAGCATATCATGGGTTGAATAGGATTAGTGAATGAAAAAAATAAATTAACCAATATGTTTCATGAAAGTGTATGAAAACTCACTTGTGAAGTGAAAGACTGGTTCAGAGTGAACACAACTATCAGAAGGCCAACAACTAAGAGTGATGAAATGTTAAGGTTGTCATTCCGGAGAAACTTACGTGGAGGGGTTAGCTGACGAAATTCTATATTTGAATGCGCTGTGTGGACATGACACACACACACACGATTAAACAACCCAGCTCAGAGAACACAATACAAGCAAAACATTTGTAAGCCTGTGATTCGAGAACAGAAAATGATTTGTCCATACAGCACTTTACACACATGGTTTTCTGGCTCACATTCTGAAATGTTTTACAGGTAACTACTCTATCAACGTTTGTGAGCAACTCACGCATTGCCATCTATCCAGTGAACTCATTTCCACAGTGAGTATCATACCAGAGAAACCAGGGATGTAGGTTTTGTGCCTCTTGCAACTCGGAAGTAAGGCTTATATGCAACTATGAAGAAACTGACACTCATGTGTCAGTTAGAATCTGAGTTTCTCAATGCTGATTTCAGAGACAGCCAACATCGAAATGCAGTGACCTCTATGGTTCAGCCTCGTTTCTTATCGGCCATTGAACATAATTGGTAGGTACAATTTATTTAGTCCTCAACATCAGTACATGAACATGTTTATTGGTAACAGTTGCAACTGAGTTTTCAAGACGTATCTACAACGCACAATACCTAAGTACACTGCACCTTACCTCAGTAAACTTTGTCTCGTTAACTGCTCGTTCAACAGTTCACTTCAATACATTCATATGCTTAGACAGAAAATCAGTTTGTAAATTTGTCCCCAAACAACACTCATTTGATATGATTTCACTGGTGAAACCATACTCTGCACAGGGATATCAATCATAATTCCATTAGTACCAGAAGCTCTGACCTTTTACCAAACGAATCCTGATATATATATAAGTACGTGGAGGTTCTACACAATCCGTTTCACTAACGTGACCATCACAAATGTTCTTTCACTGTTTAGTTACTCCATGAAACCCTCTCCATTCTTCTTGTCACAGCTTCGCTTCAACGACTCTACATTTCCTCAACATTTTTGTACACAATAGTCATATTTCTTAGTCTCATCCCTGAAAAAAACAAGCACTTACAAAATATTTCAAGTTGTTTCATTATTATGTTTAGCATGTTTGGCATGTTTCTTATTGCGAAAGACTAACTTGTTAATCACTACACTATACTATTTTCATCTCCAGACTTATAGGTCAATACACTCTGCTGTCACCCTTCACCACTTTATCTCACATTTAATTATATATTTAAGGTTCCATGCAAGTGTTCAGCTATGATGCAGAATTGTGATGAGAATCTTGTTCACTGATTAGTTTCATTTAACCTAATTCAAAAGATACTTTTCGAGACACAGTCAAATAAAATTGAAGTCGAATGGGTCAAGGTGTGACGAACATGTCCACCTGGTCGTTGAAGTTCACCATTCAAATGTCATTCACTTCTCTTTATAGTCGGTGCCGGTGACTTAACCGAACCTGTCCATGAAGCATTCACAACGGAAGGTTGAAGCTTAGATATCCAAAATCCTCTTTCAGCTACATCCTACATTGTAAATCTTTTTCACTGTCTCATACATAAATAAGATTCTAACCTCATTTCTTCTTCTGTGACACACTTGATGGTGAGATGAAAACAGATGAGTTCTTCAGGAATGATATTACCATCTCAAGAATTGCCGACAAACACGGAGTTGTCCAATTCGCATATTCATTAAATGCTGAAGACTCAAAGTGCACAGATTTTTGGATTGAGAGATGTGGAATTGTAAAACGTGCATGTTTATCATGCAACCCTACCCCCTTGAACGCATACACTAATTTTCTGCATGAAAACCGCATTTCCTATTCCAAAACATCCAACACATATATGCATATCAGGTATTGGATCAATAATTGATGATAAAATCCCACTGCTTACTGTATTCTTCATTGAAATATATTAGTTGATGAATTGCCATGAAGTGTCAGGCGTGTTGGTAAAACAATCAATCCCGCAATACTTAAAGTTGCACTAGGCAAGGTGCCACACCAAGAAATGTGACGACTCCATTTCGACAAATCAACAACCCACCTGCCTCAACATTTCCGTTCATCTCTTTCCACGTCAACTGATGAACACTGTGCGTAGCTGTGTTCTCCCACTGTCTTAACTTTATAGATTTTTCACCTGTGCTCTTCAAATATCCTACTCATAATCATGCTGCAATTTCATCTATCTGTTGATGCATTTCTCCAATGGATCCACTCCACAAATCGATTCTAGCTTATGTGAAGCTGTTCACATCCACTTAACAACAAACAATAGTCACCTGGATACACATACTGTCTCTGTAAACGATACGCATGCATACTAGGCAAACAGTCTACACTTCAAAATCTACGAATTCCCAACAGCACGATTCTCTGTGTTTTGTAGCTTAACTGGTATTGACTGTGATCAATATTGTGATCGACAAGTGTCATTCACCTGTCATTCACCTGTTTAATTACTCAGCTGTTTTTTAATTTGTTTATTCACAGTAACCAGAATACTACAGTGTACACAGAGTGTCAAAATGTGAATTCCTTCCGTAGCAATTCAAGTATTTGTTTTGAATGGAGACTAGCAGAAGTGCTAGTTTTCATCAAGTTTACTGATAATCTTCAGTGTTGATTCGACTATACCTAGTAAAGTAATGAAAAGATGAATTAGATACAATATTTGACTTGAGAGGAAGTGGATTTTTTCTTTTGGCATATTCAGATGACCCGCAAAATATGGCCAAATCAGATTGAGTACTAACAGACAACTGTTGGACAACTGCATACTTCGAAGTGAAGTAACATGTGAGTATCATTTGATTAGCTAACCTTATTTTATTTAGTACAGATATTTTTCATATCATGACAGCTTGAATTGAGAACATTTGGTCCGACTTTGAGACCTTCTTCGATTACATTTTACAAACATATCTGGCTATCAACCAATCCAGTATGAAGCTTTAGGTGATAAATGAACTAAGACGTGAAGCTAAGGAGATAGGTATAATAAAGTTGCATATATTTCCAAATACTAATCGGGTGGCTGTGTAAATGAATATCCAGTGAATGTATGCTCATATATTAATCCATCAATCGACCAGCGGTTCAGTTTAATCTATAACTTGTTGAAAACTGTTCTGTGGAAAAAAGCAGCATTGAGTGCTCAGCTCTCTGATTGTTGACGAACTGAATAATAATTTTCAGTGTCGATTGAGAAAAATCACAGGAACAGTGCTCATTTCGACGGAATGGACACTTACATACTCTATAAAAATTGTCATTCATTTAGTAGTAATGAATGTCTTCTTCATCCGAATTTCCAATCAGTCACAAATGACTATATACAACATGGTTCTTCATTGTCTCAAAGTACCACATCAATAAACGGCAATCACAGGTTACGTAAATATAGTTCAACGAAGAAAACTTACACCCAGAATCTGCCTACATATCCAAACTACAGTTGAGATTGCTACCAGTGAGGCTGGCAGAGCAAGAAACACGCATAAGCGGAGGAGGATAGCATTAAAACTGCCAGTATCGCAATTGAGGCACAGATTTCGATGATTCGAAATTCCAACTACAGCCATTTCATCTGGTGTAACCAAATTCTCCGTGTTGATTTCTGTTGGTTTCACTAGCGAATTCGAGACCGGAGAATCAGGTGTTGTAGTTGATTGGTGGGTGGTTGTTTGTGAATTGGCCATCGTTGAGCTGTCACTGTAATTCGAGCCGAATACATTCTGGCAGTTTGAAGAGTTCTAAAATTAATAGCACCATGGTGATCACAATTCAAGCACTCTGAACAACAGAATTCGACTTATGCATGAAATTGGTTGGCGTGTCAAACTGCAGCGTAATCATGAGACTTTGATGACTGCAATAACATGAATGTGCATTGTGAAACCAATCCTGTGTTTCAAATCTCTTATTCCACTTCACATGTGGTTTGTCGCATTAGTAATGAACGGTGAAAATGCAGTTTCAGTGACACGGAGAAGTGTGGAATGTATTAGTTCAGACTGACTGAATCGCTTGTCTGACTGTGTATGCTATGCTCACGTGCATGTCTCATTGTAAGCATGCTTCGGCAGATTTCTATATCTCGCGGTAGCACAACCTGTCTGACTGATGAACAGACTTTAAAAAGTTGAAGTGATTGATACCATTTGGAGACGAGTGAAACTCAGTTGCCCTGATTTCTCCTCATGTCCACTATCACCTTGTGATTTGACGTGTAGGATCTGTCTTAGTTCAGTCAATGAGCACTCCCTCCTCCATGAACAAAGAGAGTAAAGACTTCCGACATGCACGCATGCATGCTTATATGGTTTCCAATGTTATAACTGTGACATTGTTTCAGTAAATATACACCATATACTTACAGTAATATGACAGTCGGCAGTTATCCACTCCAGGATATCAATACCATGACGATGACTGCATTTGTTGATTTTCGGACACCAAAAGCACTTCACGTCATCTCTGCTCGCTTTAATGCATGCATCACAAATTGTCTGGTCAGAACAGACTAAATGCAAAACAAAACATTCTGTGTTAGTTGATTTGCAGAAAGATGAGGGGATATAATTGCAAACAAGCACATGCAAAAGCATTAGAATCTCTTTGATGTATGCGTGCAATTTGAACACAGTTGTAGACTATAGTTCCATATGAAATAGATTCATTTATTTAGTGTATAATGAGACAGTAGTATTGAGTGGATAGCGTTTCATGGGGGAGTTGTAGCCCATCACCTCATCCAGATACGTGGATCAATGTGTTTGTTTCACTTCACTATATATTTCTGATGAATAGTGACAAATGCAATGTCATTAAGGCAGGACAACGAACTGAGTTAGAGAAAGATTTGCAAACTTGAACACGATGAACACGTATTTCTAATTGGTCGTCATAAATGTGTTCTGTGAGTGAATCGACAGACTGTCAGGTCAACTTCGATTGTAAATAACTAATTAACTAGTCATTTGTGTGGCCTTCATCTTTGGTTTAAAAAGGCAGATGCAATCTGTCTCTGTCCCGCAACCTAATCTCTATAAATTATCGAGTGCACTCCACCAGTCATGGGGTTGATCGTGTTCAGATCAGTGACGAGTAGGAAATAGTTTTCCACTTTCTAGTTATGGTCTAGATATTGTGGTGTTCTGTGTTTGAAATATAAAATATCAGTGTAATCAGTTATTGTCAGTTTAAAAATGTGGATGGTAGGAGATTGAGTAGAAGCATTCACAACTACATGAAATGAGATGTTTCGCAATCTAGGATGTGAGAAATCAACAACTAAGTCTTTTGAATGAACATTTGTAGTTTAACTTTTCACATACGGATCACTTGTGTGAGTTGTGTATTAGTTATTCATCATTGTTGTTCTTGGTGTTCATGATTAGGATTGGTGACATTTTGACATAGCGGGTGATATTCAACCGACATTCACGCGTTCTTTCTGTTCTAGAATGCACATTTTCTGTTTTTATTCTTATAACTTGGACGTATCCCACTCATTCGTCTCTCCAGTATATGGATTAATTTCACGTGATGATTTGTTTTGTTGCTTATTTAGTTTCAAGCAATGAAATGGAGCATGCTGTATTTTGAGCATGCAGACATCAATAGAGAATTTCATTATGGTAGTAATATGTGCATCAAAACTCGACAATCTAACTCACCTGAATTCGGTTTGAATGCCACTAACGTTCCTGGTTTTATTTTTTCCACTGGTACATATATCTCGCTGTAACTCATTTGCTCAAAGTTTTCGGCATCTACAATAAAGGTGGATGAATATGGTTGTTAATTTTATGTTGATTAAAGTTTTTGGCATCCAAATGTTTTCCTCTTTTCGCTTCATCTCTCACGAGTGTGTAGATACGGTGTTCACGCTTATAAAGAAATTTTTTGATATATTATCCCTGTTTTGATCCTCTGTTCTTTTTGCCATGCATTTAGATTTATATACATACACTGTGTACACAATCATCGTCTGTGATATAGAAATGTTATTCCTAGTTGGGTTTGATATAGAAAGAGAATAAGTATGTCTTGTAAGTCAAAAGTTATTTGTCAATACTTATGTGAGTATTCGCTAGTTGAAGATCTACGTTAATCGCCTGCAGTATGATTTGGAGTCACACCTAACTGATTCAATCCTCATCAATGACATTTTCCAAGGTACAACATTTTTGTCAACTGTTCTTGCTGAACAGTTTCGTTTCAACCCAGGAACTTTCACCACTCTCAGTCACTCCATTTTTACAGTAAATTCTCTCTAGACATTATCCATCTTCTTCCATTCCACTTGCTTCACTAAATGCATTATAGTGTAAAACGAAATGCATGCTCATCTGCATAACAGTATGGAAGCATCTGTTCCTTCATACTACTACTACTACTACTACTACTACTACTACTACTACTACTACTACTACTACTACTACTACTACTACTACTACTACTACTACTACTACTACTCACAATACTACTACTACTCACACTACTACTACTACTCACACTACTACCAAGGTCAGTTAACAACTCCCCAAAATAGTCCACATTGATTGTGTTCTCTCTTCTCTTACGTATTCGGGATGGTAGATTTTCAAGATTTCCAAGTGGCCACTGAATCATTCAAGTTTCATATAGCATTAATGTAAACAACAAGCCAATGAAAGAAAGATATTTAGGAAACAGTGAGACGGGGAACATGAATTTCTCCTTCACGTCAGATATTTCATGCAAACAGATTTCCATGTGAGATTCAAGTTTCATTTCATTCACAGGACAGTCTATCCATCAAATTACAGTAGACAACTAAAATCAACATGTGAACTCACTTTCGATATATGATGGAATATTGATGCCGTCACTGACCATTATAGATTGTAGAATTTCTGCACTCAGCATTGGAATCTTGAATGGATTTATGATAGAGGAAACCGTGTATTTGAATTCCATTTTGACAATAATAAATAAAATTAGTTGTTCAGACATAATGCCATCTTTTCTGTGACTCATTGTCTGAGGATGTGACTCTTATTGGTAAGTCATAACTTCCACTACTCTGATAAACATCTTCTTGCACGAAATGTCAAAATCACAGTCATCGTGCAGCCAATGTTTGAAGAAATCAGTTGACTGCATCGGTGAGCAGTCAAGTTATTATGGAACAGAATCAATGACATTATACTTCCAACAAAGAGTACATAAGGAAGCATACAGCTGTGCTTTCGTATAAGTGTTCACTATCTCATAGATAAACAACCACTCATTTCACCACTGATTCCAGTTTTGTGTGTGATGAAATACCAGTGTCTTATATTGTGATTTAGGCAGATGGATGATCACAGGCGTTTTCTCAGTCATTCGAAGTTTGTCGATGGATTTCCATGTGTTCAGAAACTAAACATGTGGTTATCGGGATTCCAGATGAGCTCTGCAATTTGTGGGGTTCGACCAGTGTATGCTTCGCATATTTTGTACGTTGATTCGGTGTTCATTCATGTCTACAGTTGATGAAGTGAATGAAGCTTCTTTTTGTAGTTCAATGAATTAAATTTTGCACCAATGTGAAATTCAAAGCAATGAGTATGCTTATCATTGCAGCAATTGCCTTCAGCACATTTACGCAATTCTCGTTTCCATTCATATACAGTCACAAAATATAAATTTACATAAACTATGATGAAGTTTTGATAGTGTAGTATAGCAAATATTGGGCGCTGAGTAAAAGGTTGGCATTAGATATAGTCAGATAAAGTCAGCTGATTTACTCTACTTCGATCAGCCATATTTCCAATGGCCATCCGTCTATCTTGTTTGACGACTTCTAGTCTTGTATACTGTATTCCCTGTAAATATGTTTACAATCTTCCGAAATGGCTACCTGACTGAGCAACGAGTACACTCTGGAGCCATCCCATTCACACAGGTTTAATCCTACATAGCATATATTCAGAACCCGTCAGATACTTCTTTTCGAAAGCATTTTCAGCTTGTTGTTCCACTTCTGTCTTGCCAATGCTTTCCCAGTAATTTCCTACAACCGTGTGGAGCCTCCTTACTACTTCACAATAGAAGAATTGACTTTGGAAACACATGCGGTTCATCATGAAGAAGGAGACATGAAGAGACTGAACCAATGTGAAGTATCAACATTCCAATTTCACGATACATTTCCCACTTTAAAATTGCCTGTGTACAATGACTCACAACTGTCTTGTATTTTCATGTTACTACCCTATGACATTCAAGCTCTTGAATAATCGGCAGTTAAGCAATCCGACTAATTAAGTGGATTAAAACATTTACAACAGTCATTTCACTCACCTTTTCAAAGTAAATGGATATGTTCCCGTTGGAATATATTGCACAAAGTACCTGAGCTGGAGAGAGGAGAAGTGAGGTGTGTTGCTTTTACTGTGAGTAGAAACTTCCATCATCAAATCCGTATCATATACTGGCACTAAAACTGCCATCCTCGTATCGATGAAGTATAGACGAAGCTTGAAGCTTCCAAGTCAATCAGGTGATCGGATGTAACACGTGAAAGAATCGTAAAGATTTCCGCCTATCGATTAGATGGACGGACACATACTAATTCATTCACTTTTTTCCATGACATCATACTTTGCACACGTATGGTTCACAATACTCTGCTGTTGCTCAAGCTCGAATATTTCACAGAGTGAAACAGCACTCATGTGCAACAAGTCTTGTTTTGGAGTTGAAATTGAATTTGCCAACGAGCCAACTCTCGGTGATTCTAGTTATCACCTACGTGTTTCTAAATTGTTCACCATGAAAGGCATACAGTGACACTGTACAGACTAGGAGTGATATACGGTCAGATTGGTTGTTACATTCAGCATCACATGATCGATACATCCACAGATGGTCGACTGTGGAATGTGTATTAGTCCAACATATTTGTTAGTTTGCCTTTCACCACCAACTTGACAACACGAAGTGGTTTATGTTTGCAAGGTCTCTCTCAATTGCCAACGTAGTTGGTGACCAACTGTGGATTTATTGCATCAATTCACCACTGCTTTCTATCATCATGTAATAATTAATTCGAACTGCAGGTTGTCGTACTGAGTGAATGAGCTCCCACTATCCAACATACGTTCGCCTTGCTTTTTGTCCTCTCCTCTGCCCAATCACACCTACAGGCTAGACAACTACCTAACAACATCCAGTCGTTACACATTATTGCTTTCCAAACTGTTATTATCACAGTTACTCAGACGCCATTATCATTTCCTTGAAAGTATTGGACAGGAAGTAAATCTATCCATATTATTGCATGCTAAAAATTATAAAATGTATCATAATGTCATCTGAAATAAAGATTTACTAGCAGTTGTAGTAGTAAATTTGTACATACAAAGCAGATGCTTCGTTTCTGCGATGACCATCGAGTGTGAAATAAGAATAACTGATATGCAACCGTAAGTATTGTTGGAGAAAAGGCAATTTGATCGACATGCTCAAATGACTTACATGAATTGGCCTGATCAGTGTGCAATGGAAGAAATGAAGGCATGTTTCGAATATAATGTTCATCTGTGTTTGCATTGTACAAGAAGCTCTAAGTTGTTGCAAAGAACTCTAGAAGACTCCATTTTCTGTTCACAAGTCACATTATCAGACAACCTTCTCCATGCAATAATAATTCATGCTAAACGAGTCACTCCAATCATCTCACGCATGCTGAGTACAACTGACAACACAACTTACACACTTTGACAAACAGTTCAAACGAGCAGTTGAGCGCTAACTGTATAAGTTGACACTGCCTCGTTTTCGCAATTCATCTCTAATAATCGACTACAATTACGGTCTCCATATTCACGTATCGTGAACACGGTCATCCTGTTTTCGTCGAGACAATCAAACGGCACTTCCTAATCTCAGCCTACATGGTGAACATCTTTGTTTCCTATCGATCAAGGAGGATTTCGTTTCTGAAACCGGTTGCACACGAAGTAAATACGGGTGAATAAATTGGACAGTGATGATGATGATGATGACAGTCTTCATAGATGAAGCAGATTCCATGCAATTAAATACTTTTACAGCCTGTACAACATACCATTGCCTGTCACTTCGCTGCTGTTTGTCTTGAAGACACTCATATTCGGCCACCGCACAGCAAGAACATTATCTGTAATAAAGTTTAAAGACAGAGATTGTTTTCTCAGTGTGATGATAGATGCACATTTGAGTTAGTTAGGCAAAAGGGTGAAATGAGTCTCATTTAGTCATGAACGGAATCATTCGGAGGATACGATGTCTTAAGTGACACCAAAGGTTTCCAGCTTCGAACAAACAATTTGATTGTTCTAGACGTCTTTGCATTTCAGCCACCTTCAGCTGGAACACAGTTAAACACATGCTCAATTTATTGTGTGAGCTCACGATGCTTGTGAAAGGATTCATTCCTAGTGAGCAACATTGAAACTGAATCACTATGTAAATGCAGACATAGCAAACACGCATATAAAAGATAACGTGAATACTCACTAGTGACAATCGTCTCTACTACTCCCTCCTCATCGCCACCAGGAAAACAATGTATCGATCGTAATGTTCCAAGATGTCGAAGTTTTTCTCCAACACCAATGTCACCTATAGGAAAATTTGAAAGGTGTGAAGAAGCAGGTTTATTGGAGAAGCTAACTGAAGCTTCAAGTCAATCAGTTATGTGTGGGACGTTATCCAACATCACATGCAAACCAACATACAAGCACTCAGAATTCAGTATTACTTCAAAACACAGTCATTATTATTTCTCTCTGTCGATGAGCAGAAACGAGTCCACCGTTTCGATGAAACATCAGACTTGACTACTGATTACATGTCATGTGAAGATGACTAATTCTGTTCCAGACAATCCGTTTGTTAACGCATCGGAGACCTACATTATCACTGTGAAATCACGAAGAAAAATAATTTTAGCGAACAATTGTTTTCAATAACTTTTTCATTTCACGGAGTTTATATAAACCATGATCAAGATTTGATCGTATTGTATAGGAAATATTGGGCGATGAGTAAAAGGTTGACATTAGATATCGATTGCATTTGTGCAAGTCACAGCGGGTTTGAAATCAAATAATTCCAAAGTTTGGCACGAAAGTCTTGTCCAATCTTCTTCAGGAAAGTAATGAAAATTAAAATATTGAGGATACATAAATCAGTTCAAAAAATGTGTATTTAATCTCCTTGTCCCAATCCTCTTTCTATAGCCTTTGTTTTTCTACATTATGATTACTAATCATTCAGTGTGAAATTGTATGTCTTTTGTTGTGTGGCGTATGTATGTTATATGTGTATGCCTATATATATACTCCAATTCATATTCGTCTTGATTGTAAATATCAGACAAAAAGGACACTGACGACATAGTCATTCGGTGATTTTATAAGTACAAGTTGGAAAGGATGAGGTGGATGTATGTACAATTTCAGTTGGAATAAAGTTGTGAATAGTGTTAGCGAATTTTCTTCGCATTGATTTACCGGAATAGAGAGTGAAGGTTGTAATCTCCCTAATGTTGCACGACTTCGCATCTTATCCATAGTCGAATCCATAGGCATCAACGCAAGAAAACTGTACCATGTGCTCAAAAGAAACATGTACATCCATTTTATTTACCTTGGCCCACAACAGGGTCAACACGTAGTCAATACGAAGATTCGTACCACAAATTACACATTTTACCTCCCATTCTTCTCCTCTGTTATGAACATTCATTTTCTCATGTCATAAGTTTTACGCCCTTCTCTATTCATACCACAACCTGTAGTCATTTTCAACTGTGACGCAATACTGCACATTTGCTATTTTCTGTTTCGTTATAGTATCCATACGATTTTCATCCCACCTGAACATAAGTCATTACTACATAATTATTATTTGACCCAGAAGTAAACAAACAAACGCACACACACACACACACACGTGCATGCATGCATGAATGCATGCCCCCAATAAAGACATGTAGATGAATCATATGTAGATGTTGTCTCCTCATTTCGTAATTGTTCTGTCAAAATTGATTTCACTGCATAACTAACACACTAGACAAAACAATTCCACCATTCCATTCCATTTGATCTCCATTCACCAATAACACTGGTCAAAACTGTACATCACACCTCATTTCAGCTATTGTATTTCACTTATCTATCATCATGGATTTATAACTGTAGAGCCTGAAGAAGAATTTATTCAAAACATTTGTTTGCTCAAATTATTCTTTTTCTGAATAATCTATAGGGATCTCTAAATTATTAAAATCGAAAACAGTTTCTCAGTCTAATCATGTACACTTAAATATGTTGAGGCACAAATTTCATTTGGTAATAAGCATTCGAAATTGCTCAAAGAATATCGGTTATTCAACTTCAAATTATTACACATCCTGTAATGCGAATTTCATGAACGCTACCATGGTGCACTTCAGCTGAGATTTAAACAATTCGGAGGTAATTTTCTGTATGTTTCCGTCAAAGTGTGATAAACATTCAGTAAAGTCAATTGAGTATGCAGACAGATTAATATTATTTATTTATTTGTCCCTTGGGTTCCTAATGGAACATAGGGCTTCAGTAGCACGTCTCCAGTGCACTATGTTCTCTGCAAATTTTTGAAACTGGCTCCACGACTGCCCACAAGCTCTCATTTCTTCCTAACACGATCTCCTGCATGTCACCCTCAGCTGGGATGCCCAACTCGTCGTTTCCCCTTTGGATTCCACTCGACGGCCTGGCACGTGATGTTCCCAAATGGTATTCTCAGTGCATGCCCAATCCATCTCCACTTCCTTCTGCTGCATATTTCTTCAGCGACAGGTTCTGCCTTCGTTGGTTCGTCACCAGCCGGAGTTCCTTGTTTCTTATTCTAATTATTCTGGTCATCTGAGCCTCAGTAACGAGCCAGAGTGGGCAGCTGTTGATGAATGTCAATAGTTTGTTGGAAATCCCTTTCGTGACGCGCCAAGTCTCTGAACCATACAGAAGCACTGACTTGACGTTGGTGTTTCAGCAGTTGATGGTGATTGGAGCTTGTTGTCGTTGCTGTTGTTGTTGGTTAGGTATCTTCACCTCTACCTCTGTCTTCTCTACGTTCACTTGAAGTCCCGTGTTCGCTGCCCTGCCTCGCCTCTTCTGTCAACTTGTTAGATTTTGCCTGTATATCTTCGAGTTGTGTGACATTAGACACAAGTCATCGTTGGCGAAATCTAAATCTTCCAGGTTCTTTTCCACGGTCCAGCCGGTGTATCCCCCTCTTCCCGCTCCTCACTGTTTGTTGCATGATCCAGTCCAGTTGACCACAATCAGGAATATCGTGGGTGATAGTAGGCAACCTTGTTTCACTCCTGTCTTCACTTCACTTCAAAAGCATCACTGAGCTCCCCAATGTGAATTACTTGGCGTGTGGCGTCTTCATATAGTTGCTGAATGAGGTGGATAAAGGTTTGTGGTATTCCGTAGTAATGAAGCAGTTTCCAAATTACTCGTCAGTCGACGCTGTTGAAGGCCTTCTCAAAGTCGATGAAGTTGAGGTAGGGTAATGAGTTGACTGCCATTCTATGCTCTGATCTATGATGACGCATAGCGTAGCGTTACAAATCGGTCTGCCCGTTCCGGTCGTAGTTCTGAATCCAGCGCATCATTTAGTCTCCTCGTAAGTATGCGGCTTAATATTTTGCTTACTTTGGTTGGACAGGAGCATGATTCCCACCACTTCATATGCAGACAGATATTGGAGTGTAAAGTTCTCTGCAGCATGATAAACGAATTTTCCAACATCTACGTTTGACAAGCCTCTGACCAACTCACAACTGACTTCTCAGTGAACTCATGCTCCTGTGTTGATCCAATGATATACTCACATTATATAGAAACATCTGAGAAGTTCACTCTCAAACAATGAACAACAGTCGTCCTGTTTGTAAATCACAATTATAATGTTCAATCACGAGTCAGGAGGATAATGAAAAATCATACGCTGCTTCAGAATCGATGAATAATACAGTCACTTAAAAAAAATCACATCTAGATGCACTGTGCAACAACATAGTATCATCATAATAATAATGATGACAGTAAATGGCACTATATTCATTGACTTACCTTGTGGATAAACCTCAACCGACTGGTAGTGGATGCCATGAAATTTTATAGGGAACAGAGAAAGAATCCTCTAAAGAAACGGTTTGATCGGGTTAGAGCAGAGGTAGTCGATTTACCAGAGGTCGCGTTGTGGAAACCATCGTTTTGTTAAACCGAGCAAATTTTAATGGAGGAGTTTGGTTTAGTCTAACCGTCTGGGTGTAGTAATAATGATCAGACTAGTCAGGCATATTAACGTCTCAAATACACGTACTTGTCTGTATGATTGATTTTCCGCAACAACCTTTTCATATTCTCCAGGAAATAAATATTCCAGATGATCGAAAGTGTTGCACACCAACGATGTCGAGAACTGAATAATGCATGCCCAGAATAGTAAATAAAAATACAACGAGATTTCTGTGGATCTGAGATGTATAAGTAACATCCGTTTGCCAAACATCATATTGAATTACTGAGTTATGTATGAAAAACATCAATTCAGAACTGACCTCATCGTTAATGAGAATGAGAGTATGCAAAACACTGATACCAAGCATCATTCAATGAATTCCATTCATTTGTAGAATTGATTTCTTCAGTCAACCAAAACAGCCAATCAGCTAATATGTTTCACACACAAACATCAGTGACCTACAAAAATTTTTCAGCTATCATTAGTTACTGGTCAAAATGTACCACTCTGAATTTCGAAGAATTATTTACTCCTTTTGTAAATTATTAACCTTCGAGAACATTCCTTCTCCGAAAGAGAACTTGCTATCCAATTCACATGGCTTTGTGTTATGATGTGATCAGCTAATCAGTGATGTAGTATATGTCATGTAGTTCATTTTCAGATCAATAACTTTTGTGAAATCTCATCACAGACAATACACTTCACCTTGAGTCGGACACGCACGTTGTTGACAACGTTCGCAAATCAATTCACACAGCCTACGAAATTAGAAGAGTAATGAAGTCAGCTAACACTATCCGTCTTTTCCACCTATCTCAGTTTCACTATAGCTTGTCAACTAGATGTGTCACGCACTGAAACAATGTTGTTTACTGGATAACATTTCGCATACAACCTATTGTCCACATTCGTATCACATAACTACATAACAATGAGATACGGTTTGTGTAGTTCTAATTCCATATTAGACTAGTCTGTTCGATGTAGCATGTAGTGATGTGATACCATGACCAACTAGCAGACATTTCGACCAGCATTTATTGCTTACAACCATATCAAAGTGATCACACAACTTTCTGATTTGCCTCTCATAGTTCTACTACTTTTCACTATTTGATTTTATCGGTAGTAAGCTCTTCCACACATTCGGAATTCGTGTTGCGTGCACCATTTCGACCACACGTGCCAGGTGTTCAACTGGTCAACAGAGATCCAGTGATCAAGCTCTCTCTTTCACTCTCACTCTACTTTACTATATTGGGTGTGAGGACCACAAATCAGTGCCACATCACTGTGTGGTTGCACGTTATCTCGTGCATACCTATGGCTGAATTCCTCTCAAGATTACCCGTTTTATCAGGGTGTGTCAGTTTAGACTTCGTTAGCTTTCTGCTTTCTGTCAATCTGCCTGACCCAGTTCAGCTAGTTTCACCTACATATTTGACCTCACAATCATTATAAGATACTCACCAAATTAAATTATTCTGTCTAGTTGAGTCCACATATTCATCTGTAAACCGACAAAGTTTGTCTATCCCACTCACGGATTCCGACATCTCTTTCTCACATGACAACACCACAGATGCCTTGAATTCCTTCTCTTCCTTCCCGTTGCAACTTCACTTCACTTCACATCATCACTTCTCCGCTTCTTATGCACCCCAATGCATTTCTGAATAAGCTTAGGAGGGTGGTTATTAGAAAGCAGAGATTCACTTGTCTATTTCATCTCCTTATTTAAGTTGTTTAACTTACTCAGGAGACTTGTAGTTCTGTTGTCTAAACATTGGACAAAGCCTACATCTATTGATGTAAGACGGGATGACCTAACTTCCAGATCAACGAAGTGCTGTGTGAAATCTTCACAATTGATTTTTGCAGTAACAGTTGTACCTTCATTCCTTGAGAACCAGTCATTCAGACCTTGAAGACACGAGTAAATCTTTTTGACTCAGAGTGTTTATGATCATTCGGAAGTGGATAAACGTAGCGAGTTGGATTATTTCCACTCGGAGGCAACATCACTTAACCACTATGCAGTTTAATGACTAGACTACTGTGGAGAGATGCAGAAGTGTAATATACTAAAATGTTTGAAATCACATGAAGCTGGAGAATATATATTCGAAATATACATCGTTACAAACACGACGAGTGAGTTGACAACAATTAATAATATAACGTTTGCTTGTGACTGACATTAGAAAATGATAATGCCATTCTAATTTATTACTTTGTAGGCATGTCAATCGGATTCTGTGAATAAGCATAAATCCTATCACCCGTGACAGTAGTGGTCAAAATACTTTCAATAAGCACATCAACTCTACTTGCAGATTCATGGATTCAACGACGGAAATGATTTCCTCAATACTATTAATATGTACATACAGAAAACATTACCGAATCAGAATGCATGCATCTCATTACTATGTGGAATTGATAGAGTAGTTCAAACATGCATCAGATTTAGATTACTTCAAAATAGAAATATTTCACGAACTTGGAAAGAGGCTGTTCCTTAGTGAATATGAATAGTTGACATAAGTCTGGCTTTCAAACGAGTGTCGAAAATTCACTGAGTAGCAGTGAAGAAGTTGATGTAGTTTTATTTCAAAAGTATACTTCATTGTGTGCGAAGCTGATCAAAAATGAATAAAGTGTTAATTGGCATGTCGAAACACCAACTTTGTTTATACACATGCTTTGATTCATCAAGATCCTTTTTTAAGGTCCTACACTAAATCAGGTAAATCTTCAAACGTCAATATCAAGAAACATATAACTGCAAAGAAATGAGTCAAAACAATCAAATTATGTGCAAATATTTTCAGTAGTCATTATGCTCACCTCCTCAAACAAATTGGATTTATTCTTATTGGTATAGAATGAACAAATGACCTCGACTAAAAGAGAAAATTGAGGAATGCACATCTTCGTGGGAAATTGAAAATCAATATCTCCCCACTGAACATAGACACAGAATTCTGATGATCGATTTTTCTAAAGATGCATGTACACACTGACAAAGGCCATAGCATAATACTTATTTCGATGCAAAATAAAACCACTCACTGACTTCAAGTGTCATCATGTGAAACTGAGCTATTGAGCAATAATTTTATTCACTTTCTGCTGAATGTCTTCTAAATTGTTGAGTCCTTAGTCACATAATAACATGTCATGACATTAATAGACATACAAATGAGAACTAATAATACAGTGAGGTCAGTGTTGCACAGAGAACAACAAATTTATCTCTAGAGGATAGATCGGAATAACATTCATTTGGCTAGTATATTTGAAGGCATACACGTGAATTCGTGTGTGAGACTTAATCGTTTACTGTGTTTCACAGTGTTATTTTCACCCCACTCTCGCCTACTTTCAATCTCATATACAAACTTGCATCCAAACTATTGACTAGTGTGCAGACTGAATATTGTGGAATAACACTATCACGATGATGGCTTCCAGAGTTGTGAACGAATTCCTATGGATATAGTTTTACTCCCTCACCACCTACTCTTCACATTCATTCTCATTTCAAAGCATTTCGACACATCACTCATCATGTTCGTTGATCAGGAATACAAAGGGTAGTCATCTAGACACTTTCGTAGAAATCATCGTGTTCTGCAGTGTCACACTCGATCTCCAGCTTCCCAATAACTGCTTGCGTTTGGTGATATTCAGGTCAGAAATAGCATTGAAGTGGCCCTCTATAAATGAACGTGTTCACATGAAACTAACTGAGATCACAGTTGTTGGTGTTGAACATCTACATCTGTCATCTCTCAGCATCTGACATGCCTGACAAAATGTGTGTGTTGAAACAAGTCGACTTTATTTCAATCAGTCCATTTCATCCATATTTGCATAGCAGCTGTTGACGTTCAAATTATTTACACTTTGTCAAGAATCACACAGGTCTTGAATGATCCCAGCGACAACGAGGAAGGTGTGCAAACACCACTCAATGTTTAGTCAAGTTTGTAATTTATATATAGCTTGAATAAAAACCTTGTCATAGACACCTGACTAATAAGTTTGTCTACCATAACGTCTATTTTGGTCTTGCTGAAGATAACTAAGCACAGGGAAAGAAGATTCAGCAAGTTTCTGGAGTGGTTGTAGCTGACATAATTCACTCGCTGTATGTCTCACACTAGTATTCATGATTTTCCATTTCAACATTACCGTCACAAAGATGAAAGATTCCTAAATTGAAGAGTCTGTTATGTTTAGTGGAAACCACTTAGATATCAAGTTGAATTTCCTAAACTGATGAAGCATGAAATCATCCAGAACGGTGAGCTCATACATCTGTCAAAGATTATAAGCAAGACAGTTGCCTCCGTCATGGTAACAGTGAACATGAAAATGCGAAAGCTATTGAAAAATCAATTTGGTAACTCCACGGATGAAAGATAACTGAAGCAATTTGAGTCATATATGCGTTTGATCCACCTTATGAAAGGTGGTGATAAACTACTCAATCAACTTCGAAGGTGAGTGCAGAATACCGTATGAAATACTTCGAATGAAGCATGCATAGTATACTCGCATAAGTGAACTGAATCTCACATTCACACAGATTTTCTCATAACCCGTGTTTACATGCTAACAGATTTGTTAACAATTCACTTCATCTCTTCGATGTCACTGAATAGTAATTATTGAGTGTATGTGCACATGCATGAAAGATGAAATTCGATTTATTCCATTTACCATTTAAACATGTACAATCACTTCTACAGGTTTAGTTGCACGAAAGCATTACTTATCAATCTCACCGCTACTTCGTACGTGTATCTCCCTGACGCAACGTGATCATTTCAGTTTTACCGCAGACAGTCAGAAAATGTTTACAAACTTATGGGAAATCCAGCCGTCATCTTCACAGATGAAAGAGAACTATGCAAATAAACACTGTTGCAATCTATACATCCCACGGTCAATTGTTACCTCAATATGAGAGTCACAAACGCTTATATCCAGCCACTGTACAGCTAACAATGTATCTGAGCAAATGAAAATAGTGGATTTGTATCCGAGTAACTGATAACTGAGGAATATCTGGGTAATAATACACTTCTGACTTCACAACTCCAGTCAGTTAAAAAACTATGCAGTATTATGGTACAAACCGGTATTCACAGATAAATTGCATGATCATATTTCATGCATATCAGATAATTATCGTGCTGAACTACCTATGAGGACAGACACCTTCCAAAAGTCAATATATTGTTAAATTATTCCTG